GGCCTGGGCTGCAGCTCCTGGGGGGCTCAGAGGGGCAGCAGGGGGGACAGCTTTCAAAAAAAAAGCAGCAGCCGAGCAGCAGACACTGGGGCTGGGAGTCCTGGAGACACTGGGCTAACTGGGGCGGGCCCTGGAGATCCTGGGGCTGCAAAACCCGTCGGGGACGGTGGAGCTGGGGCTGGAGGAGGGGAAGTGGTAACTGGGACCTGCAGCGCTGGGGCAGGGAGCTGGGGAGGAACAGAAAACACGGGGATCGCTGCAGCTGGAACCACAGGGGGAGAAACGGGGGCCGGGGGGCCGGCAGGGGCAGGCAGAGCCGTGGCAGGGCTGGGCGGCTCCACAGGGAGAGCCTGGCCTGCAGGGCCTGGAGATGGAGTCAGAGGTGGGGAATGAGCAGCATGAAACGTCCGCCTGACCCTGCCAGGTCCAGCGCAAACCACGACATTCGTCTGCCTCTAGAAACCAGCACTGATTAGAGAGAACGCTGTGCTGGTGTGAGCTAGCTGAAGGGCACAAGTGACAGAAGAAAAAACCCGATGCCGGAATTGGTGCTGCCACCCCAGGTTTCCTTGTTTAGAGCAGCAGCGGCCAAAACCCTGCCCATGGCAGGAGGTGGCACCCGAAATGCCAGGAATCCCCAGCAGGCTGGGCATGGCAGGAACCTGACGGGGCCGGCACAGGGGCCAGGCTTCACCACCAGCTCTGCACTGGGCTCATCCCTACCAACGGGGTTGCCACAACTTTTGCGAAGCTCTGGAGCCCAGCGCTGCTCCTGAGCCTAGGAAATTGTGTCCCAGGCTGGTGGGAGCAGGAGGGTGACAAGGATCCACCCGAGGATAGGAAGGAAAAGTCAAATTTAACACACTGGCATGCATAACTGCTCCAGGAGTGCTCTGGCAGGAGGCAGCCCCCTCCCTCCAGCCCCGGGGTGACACAGGCAGACCCTCCCAGCAGGCAGGTGCCCTTGGGGGACGAGGACGCCGAGGCACGGGTGCTGGCGTGGCTCACTCACACCGAGGGGACGGGACCCCGAGTCCTGTGCTCCCCTGTGCAAGCTGTTAGGGTTAATGTAACTGCAACCACCCAGAACAGCAAACTCTGGTTAATGTGGCACACGAGGTGTTAACGAGGGGGGGCCCGGAGTACCTGGCGATGGAGCAGTAATGGGGGCTGCGGGAGGAAGGGCAGCTGGAGCTGAACAGGCAAGAACAACAGTTTATTAAGACAAGTCCTGCCGACCGAGAGCGCTCACCATCCAGCTGCCCCAGCACACGCCTGCCTCCAGCCAGAGCCCAGCTATTCCGAATACCATTCCTGAACATCAACGAGCAAAGGGAAGCGCTCAGGGAAGAGGCGCGGTGAGAGCCAGGGAGGGCAGCGCTGGTCTGACCAGCATAACCAGCACCACTGCTGGTTGGGAGAGCAGAACCGGCCCAGCCACGCACCCGCCCCACGCATGGCGTCAACCTCGAAGCCAGAGGCAGCACGTCCCGGCACGTCTGCTGGGGAGCGTGGCCAGGCCAGCTGCCGAGGAGAAGCCCCTGACAGCTTCAGAGCCCAAATCACAGTAGGGTTCGCAAAGACCGCGTCACGTCAAGGAAGCAACAAATCGCCTTCCACCTCCGCGCACGGCACTGGCTCTCACCGCTGCAGCCACATGCGGCTCTGCATGGGTCACCCACCGACCCACAAAGGGCCGTCCCTACCCAACCTCTCCCACACTGTGACTGGGGCTGGGTCACAGGCTCAAGTCCTCACCTTGCTCCCGTCTGGAGCAGCAACACATGTGGAACTCACCGCAGCCTCCTCTGTGGGCGATGTCCCTTTCTCTGCCCCACAAGATGTTTCTAACGCCCCGTTTCCCCAACCTACCCCAAAATGCAGGGTGGTGGGAGGAGATCGGCACCAGCCTGGAGCTCAATGAGTGCCAGGTATTGGTGCCTCATGCATGCCAAGACACTTCCTGCTCCAGGGAACCTACTGGCACCTCCGGAAGGAGGAACAGCCCCTGCCAAGGGCTGAGCTGGCCCTGAGCCCCTCACAGAACAGGCTGCACAGACAACAGCCTTCTCTGGAAAGCTCGTTTACCCCTGCCAGCTCTCCCTGTTCCTTCTCCATCTCCACCGACACCACTTGAGGACGTTCCTGCGATAAGCATGGCATTTCCAATTCAACGCTTCTCTGCTGACAGCTCCACCTCTCCTGTGGCCGCCTCCGCAAATGAAGGCAAGACACAGGACTCTCCAAAAGCATGTATAATTTTTAAGGGTTGCTTAAACCAACTGGGCCGCAGAGCCTCCCACAGCCTGGCTGTGCACACCTGAGAGCTGAAGCCCCGTACCGCTGGATTAGAGACCACTCTGCCCAATCTCACAGGCCTTCCACAGACCAGCCAGCCTCCGAAGGATAAAACAAACGTCAAAGAAAACTGCCTGATGATTCCCACCCACGGGGCGATTGCTAACCCTGTGCCAGCACCCCCAGCTCCAGCTCCTCTTGCGCTGCTGGATCTCAGAAGAGCTGGCTCAGCAAGGAGGGGATAAACACAACAGCCCTCGCACTCACACATGCCTTTCGCCTCCACTCTCCACCTGCAGACCTACCTGACGGCTCCCGCCAGCCCCCGCAGCTGCCTGCATCGCTGCCCCGGGAGCCCCCTGTTCCCCCAGGGCGGGGGGAACAGGTACTGTAACAGCCACCCACTGTCAGCTTCTACCGACCTGCATGTGCTCCACAGAGTCGTGAGAGACTCAAGAGCAGCAAAGCTTTGGGAGGAGAAAAGGTGTGAGTTGTCACCCGAGACCCAGCAAAAAGCCATCCCGGGAAGAGGGGGGGATGCTGGGAAACGGCCCCACCGCAGGAATCCCAGCTACGCCTGCAGAGACCAGAAGTACAGCAGCTCCCGAGACCTGGCAGCACAGCTGTCATGCTGGTGGCTGCCACTCAGCCCCACCGGGCCCGGGGCGCCGCTTCCTCCCCAGGGAAGCCTCTCCCAACCATCGGGAAGCCCCGACTCCCCTCGTGGTCCCCAAATCCAGTGCGCCCTTCGGACAGACCCCCATTCACCGTCATGCACTGCGTGGCTCCCCCAAGCCGGGTGACAACACCTGGTGATGTATTCCTGCAGCGCGTCCCTGCGCCTCGGGGCAGAGATGCAGCAAACGCGGGCAGAGCATTCGCCAGCTGCACCGCAGCACCCGGGACACCTTCAAGGGAGACAGGCAGCGCAACAGGCAGCGCAACAGGCAGCGCAACAGTCCCTGGCCCCAGGGTGGGCACAGGAGACTTTCTACCGCAGAGCCACACGTTGTCTCCCCAAACCCAACCAGTTCCCGAGCGTAAAGGGATTAATGTTTGTACACATCCCTGGCTGTCCCAGCCACTGTGCGGCCGTACCCCGACCTGGCTACGGCCGTTTTCCTCCCACTCCCACTGCTTCAACACTCAAATCCGTAATGGGAACGCACAAACACAGTACAGAGTTTGGCTGATGTAACGCTCTCCCCAATCATTTGGGACACGAGAGGCTACAACCCCCGTGACTCCAGCCACACTTCCTATAGAGACAACCCGTCCGGCT